GTGAGCTGCAAGGATGAAACCAGCAAAGAGGATCTTTCTGGCCTTCATGCCAACATACTCTTCAGGGGAGGATCCCAGTCTTGCAAAGTCAGTCTGGGATCTTTTAGCTTGTGTATAATCATTGTTAATAAAGATATTCTACATATGGAACTTAGTCAACAATTCTGTATGTAAACCAGAAAATAATTCAGTGTTCTGTTGGATCTGCAAAGCTTAAAGGAATAAAGCTAATAACTTTTGTTTTTACTATAAGTATATAAGAGACAGAATCCACACAGATCTGTTGATTAAGGCAGTGGTTTTCAAACTGCGGGTCACAACCCAGTACTGGGTCCTGGCATCTCTGGTCAGCACCACCAACCAGGCAATTAAAATTCCCGTCGGCGGTGCTGCCCGGCTAAGGCAGGCTAGTCTCTACCTGTTCTGATACCACACTGTGCCCCGGAAGCAGCGAGCAGCAGGTCCAGCTCCTAGGCGGCAGGGCCACGGGGCTCCGCGCGCTGCCCCCGCCCCAAGCACCAGTTCCGCACTCCCAATGGGAGCTGGGGAGGGAGGAGTCGGTGCCTGTGGGCAAGAACCGCACGAGCCGCTTGCGCATCTCCGCCTAGGAGCCGGATCTGTTGCTGTCTGCTTCCAGGGCACAGCGCAGTCTGCGGTGCCAGGACAGGCAGGAAGCCTGCCTTAGCACCTGTGCTGCCCCGCTGACCGGGAACCGCCTGAGGTAACCCTGTGCCCCAATCCCCTGCCCAAGCCCTGAGCCCCCCAAACCTGGAGCCCCTTCTTGTACCCCAAACCCCTCATCCCTGGCCCCACCCCAGAGCCTACACCCCCAGCCCAGCCCGGACCCCTTCCCACACTCCTGCCCCAGCCCAGAGTCCCCTCCCACACCCTGAACCCCTCATTCCCAGCCCTGAGCCCCTCTCACACCCCAAACCCCTCATCCCCAGCTCCATTAGGTCATGGGCATCAACAATTTTCTTCAACTGGGTCACCGGAAAAAAAGTTTGAAAACCACTGGATTAAGGCAGTGCTATTTTTATTCACTTTTCTGACTTTAACCACACTTTAAGGCTGGTAAGCAAGCCACATTTTTGCTTGCTTAATTACGTATTGTCTAGCAAAATTCCCTCCTAAATTTAATAGGATACAGTACTCATCACTTCCTGTCCCAAACTGTTGTATACTCTCTGTTCAATGTATGGCAGGTATCATAATTCACTGCAGAAGTGGCTGTGTTCTGGTACTGGGTTTTAAAACCTCAGTTTCATTTTTTTTTGTTTTTAAGCTACTGCCTTACATGACTACAGAAAAAAAAAATCACTTAATCGGGACATGTAAGTTAAACAAGGAAACTACAAAGCAGTATTTATAAATACCTGAAAATGTCTCCATGGATGTGCTTTGAACAGCTGTGGCAGCTGTGGAGACAGCCACCTTTATAATAATTCCACAACAAACACAGTTTGACATGTATCAAGACTGGAAGATCAGATCTGATGCTAACGGCATAAGAAACTGCAGGAGTCTTCCACAGTTCTATATTTTCTTTACTTGTTTGATTTAATACGTACAATTTAAAATCAAACACAAAACCCACTGTGGAAAATCTCTTGTCACCCTCACTGCATGTCTGAGCTCTCTTGATGTTTCATCAGGTTGACAGTGTGACTGCGTTCTTATAAAATATTTAAATATGAACTGCAGAGTGCTTTTAAAATAAATTTAGTGATTTAGACATGTTTAAAATGGACATCTGATTGGAAACTTTTATATTCTATCGCAGTTCTCCTTTAAGTGATTGCTTCATAGTCTGTAAAGCTCTTTGGGATTCTTCAGGATAAAAAAAGCTCTATAAATGAAAGTTGTGTTAGAGTGTGAAAATCTTTCTCTCATGAGTCTGTGAATATAAAAACTGCTTCTGTAAGAAAATTCTGGATTTCTCTATTGCTAGACAGTGATAAGTCTGACAGCACAATTTACTGAAGTGGAATGTAGAAAACCTATTTTGTCATCCTTATTTAAGGCCTGTGTAAAAGAATGTATTTGTAAACAGTGATTTTCTCACAAGGGAGACGGATCTGTGGTAGGTAGATCTTGGTGAGCTATCCTAGTGATAGTTTAACATCCAGAAGTCTCAGTGGAAGGGCATTCGTTTCTAACCTTTGCATTCTGTGTCCAAATAGATAATTGCATAGATAATTGGCAGCATTTTAAAGAAGCAACTTTGTTTTCCCCAGTACAAGTTCCTGGTAGTCATAGATGCCTGGTGTCCTGAATACTTGGAGATCTTGTGGTTAAAACATTAGCATGGGACTCAACAGACGTCTGTTCAATTCCCAGCTCTGCCACAAACTTCCTGTTTGACCTTGGGCACGTCACTTAATCCCTCCTAATCTGAAAAATGGGGAATCATATTTCCTACTTCATAAGGCTGTTGTGAGGATAGTCATTAATTATGGTGAAGTAGTGCAAGGCCATATATATAAATAGATAGTATGTTGGGAAGCTGACAGGCAGTAGCTTTGATTTAAGTAGCCTTAAAAAAAGTCTTATGGTGAAAGTGTGACTGATTGTCATGACCAGTAAAATAGATGGTAATAGACTGCAGGCTTATATTGAGAGAGGTGGGTTATTGGGATACCAGGATAATTCCTGTTTGCATTATTTTAATAAAGAAGGAATGTGCTCTTACAAGACCTGCTAAACATGTAGTTTCTCTGCCAAGTACTTGTCTCCTTGCATATCCCCACATTGCTGTATTGCATAGGAATTAAACTGATGCCAGGTTTGTGTTCTTCAGTGTATTTGTAATCTCTTCAGCTTGTCCCTTAAAAATACAGGTTCCTTTTGATAGACTGAATAAGAATCAAGGCGGTATAGCACACTAACTCTTAATCTGGTCATTTGAGTGTGCTGTTATAACTACAGTGTGTTCCCTCCAAAAGTTGTTCCCTTTTGTGCCTTGCAGAGTTTGAAGAAGCAAAGAAATGGGTGGCAACTGACTTACTGCTTGATAAGAATGTGGATGTGAACCTCTTTGAGAGCACCATTCGTATTCTGGGGGGGTTGCTGAGCGCCTACCACTTATCTGGAGATAGCCTCTTCCTGGAAAAAGCTGTAAGTGATTGAGTCTCGCAGTCCCAGGTAGAATGTGTGTCTTGTGTTGGGTAAAGTGGCAGAAAGGTTCATCAGAAAGTAAACTCTGCCACGCTTTTCCTCTGTATTCCACCATTACTGCCCTAGAGGCTTCTTGAATGTTTTCTTCATCTTTGCCTTCCTGGTGTCATCAGAGCTCTAATTACCTTAGGGTTCCGTTTTAATTAGAATTTCCCTTAATTCCTAATGTAAAGACTAAGATAATACATTTAAGGATCTTTATTATATTTTTACCCAGTTCATTTTTTTTTTATGGGAAGAAAGTCCTAGTCAATGAATGGAGCGGTTACACGCAGGTTCCCTGTCTTGGGAAATACAGTGGTATTCTCCTTCCCCTCCCAAGTGCCGGGAGAAAGGCCCTGTGCTTGCATTAAGGATTATCCGTAATCTCAGATTGAAAATGTGTTACGTGGGATGTGCAGTATGAACTGTAGTGTACAGCAACGGGAACCAGGTAGAAGCTATATGCCAATTACTGTGAAGTAGTGATTCTTCTTAATATTTGCCTTTGTCCCTTGTAGATGGGCTAAAACTAAGCTGCAGTTCTTTTTCCTGTTTTTTGTTTGATTGCTGAGAGAAATAATAAAGAATTTTTGTTCCATGCTTTTGGGTTCTCTTTAGAAAGACATTGGGAGCAGGCTTATGCCAGCATTCAACACACCATCCAAGATACCATACTCAGATGTAAACATTGGCCGAGGCACTGCCCACCCGCCTCGTTGGACGTCTGACAGCACCGTGGCAGAGGTGACCAGTATTCAACTGGAGTTTAGGGAGCTCTCTCGTCTCACTGGAGATGAGAAATTCCAGGTATGGGAGAACCAGTTGTCATCTTCTCTTCCTCTCTCCACCACTACCCCTCAGCCTCCACCCCATTATTGGTGAGGCTCCCTTAGATTGCCTGTACTCTTTTTCTCCTTCCAGTCTTCTAACAGAGATCAAAAATGTTTCTCACTGTGGCAGCTGGAGCAGATTTCATTGGTTGATGAAAGTAAATGCCATTGCGTTGCTGATCCACCTCCTAACAAACACCATCTCTAAAACATCTTCTCTGGAGCAATTTTATGCCTAATCACGCCATACACATCACTATTTCTGAGTAGTCACTCCACCTTTCAGTTTGCTGGTGAATTCCTGGTTCTTATAATCTCACAGCTAAAGAGAGTTAAATGACATATCCAAAGGGAAGCAGCTGGCGGGCCAGGGGTGGGGAAGAGTCCATTACTTTTCCAGTTATTTTTTTAAAGTAAATACCACAAAGCTCATAGTAGAGGTGAATAATTGCTCCCTTCATCAGAAGGAACTTACAAGAAAAATGTTTGTTTTTGATATGCTTGTGGTATCTTTTGTATTGTCTGAGATTAGATTACCTATAACTGGCTTTTCGAAACACCAGGCTATAGCTGTCTTCTTAGTATTTAAATTCTGTAGGAGGTGCTTAGATATCCCTACATTAATGCTAGTGTTGAAAGCAACTAAACTCCCTTCGTAAGCGGCAGGATGCTTATCAGCCGACTCAAATTCCAGTTACGGGCATGGTGTGAAGGTTGTATCTGGGAGGAAAATAAGCCAAAGTACTAACAATTTCAAAGGCAGTGGGAGGTGTATTCTTTTTGTTTTGGAGGTGATTTTTGTATAGTGCCCCAAATCAACTTACACATAAGGCCCTACTTCATTCTCAATATTGCAGATCCCCCAAAAGTAGGCTTCCACTGCAATTTTGATTTTTTAATTAGCTCACTTTGCACAATCCACAATTTCACGTACATTTTAAGTATGCAATTAGTACTGCACTAACATGCAATGCCTGTAAAAGGGTAAAGTGACTGGACTCGATTTCTACAGCAGCTGTGTTAAGACTTTTAGTCTTTTGAATTTTATATTGTACCAGTCACATTTTTTTTTTATGAATGTAAGATAGTTGCAGCAAAATGTCTGGTTATCAAAAAAATTAGCAGGCATAACATAATACTTGAGTGTTTATATCATTCCTGCACATTTTTCTTAAACACATTCTGGCTTTTCCAAATCACTGCTGTTAATGAAGGTCCATTATTACTTTTCTGCAATTTTTTTTCCATGTCTTGTCCGTAACTCCTCTGCAATTATTTGAAGATCATCCAACAATTCAAGTAGGGCCTTATTTATACAGTTATTTGCAGGAACTATAGCTGTACATTATGCATGTGCAGTGGTCCTTAGCTATACTTGTGTCATGAAAATCTCAGTAAAAAAAAAAGTTGGCATCATTACCAACTTGAGTTGAGCTACAGTATTATTGAGAAATATTTCTGAGCTTCCCTGATCTCCTCCAGAACAGACACTGTTGAAGGTGTTGCAGGCCACTTAACCTGACGTTAGAGTTAACCTAATGTTCTGTCAGTCGGTGTTTGAATCTGACTTCTAAACGACTGAGGGACCTGGACTCACCACCATCGCTGATTCTAGCTTGAGAGAGTTGTATTCTTGAAAAGGAAAGCTGATAAAAAATCTCTAACTATTCCCGCCTCAGATTTGCTGTAGTTTCTCTGAAGCCATAAGCAGCAACTGTATTGGAAAGGGGGAAAAAATCCCACAACTGTTGACTGCTCCAGGTCATTTAAGTAATATTGAGCTGTGTAGTTGCATTGTCTCATTCAAGGTGTATTTTTTTCAATGTGTTTTTTTTTTTCTGTAGAAAGCAGTAGATGCGGTGATGAAGCATGTACACTCTCTCTCAGGGAAGAATGATGGGCTGGTGCCCATGTTCATAAACACCAACAGTGGGCAGTTCACTCACCTGGGTGTCTACACTCTGGGGGCCAGAGCTGACAGCTACTATGAATATTTGCTCAAGCAATGGATCCAGGGTGGGAAGAAAGAAAATGAGTAAGTTCTCCCCACTTCCTGTGTCAGTTTAAGAATGATGTAAGCTATAAGACTTGGCGGTTTAGAAGGAAGAGTATATTATGCAGACTCTGATATGAGCGTATTTCTGAGTAGTTTTAAAAAAAACCAACAACAAACAAGCTGGGTCAGTAGACTTATTGGTAACTGCATAACAGTGTGGGGATCAGACTTCAACTTGCAACTCTGCTTCCCTCCTACACAGGGTGTTGAGGGTTGTGATTGTTACAGATGTGGGAGGGATTTAAATTGTTTGCAGCAGGTTCTGTTGCGTAAATAAAATGTTGTTGCTCTGTAGGACACATCACTTTTATTCTCTCTGAAAGTGGCAAGGCATTTTGCAGGCTCTGTTAGAGAGGGATTAGTGAGGAACCTGCTGGAGGGCAGGTACCACATTCGTGATTATCCCCTTTCTAGTCCAGATACAGGACTTACATTTGAATCCGGTGCCTTGGATTCCAGTGTGTTTCTCTTGTCTGGCCTGAATAACTGGGAAGCACCTTGTTTTGGGATGAGAGGGGTTTGAAAGGGTTTGTGGGACAAGGGAGGTGTTATTGTGGGAAAGAAAGGCACACTCTCTCTCTTGCACCTACCCTTGAATATTAACCTTACATAAGAACGGCTATACTGGGTCAGACCAAAGGTCCATCTAGCCCAGTATCCTGCCTTCTGACAGTGGCCAATGCCAGGTGCCCCAGAGGGAATGAACAGAACAGGTAATCATCAAGTGATCCATCCCCTGTCGCCCAGCTTCTGGCAAACAAAGGCTAGGGACACCTTGCCTCTAGAGGGTGTCCTGCAGATAAGGGTTGAGGAATATCTTTAGGGAAAACTTGCATGACTTCTGCCAGTGCTGTACCTGTTGTGTAGATGCAGAACTTCAGTCTCGATTGATTCTGAATCCAACACATTTCACAAGCATTAAAATTCACAGACCACATCTTTACTTTTAAAAATTGTTTTAATTATCATGCTATTCTCAGAAATGTGTTTTTCTCCTATACACCCTTGAAAGAAGCTAAAGATTATTAGATATATTGGAGATACATGCCAGATGCATTTTGTATAAGCATGATTACTTGGATTTTTCTTAATGCTTTATATTTGACTAAATATCTTTAGTGCCATTGAAATCAAATTGCAAGTTTCTACTCTACAACAAGTGTGGCCTTTGAGATGCATGTACTGTATCTAAAGTATGGTTGGATAAATCTACTTTAAAATGTGTATATTTGGGCCAACTGGGAATGGTTTTAATTCACAGACTGTTGGAAGATTACATGAGAGCTATAGAAGGGGTGAAAAAGCATTTACTTCGGACATCACAACCCAAGAAGCTTACTTTTGTAGGTGAACTTGCTCACGGCCATTTCAGTGCCAAGATGGTAAGCGCTGTACCTGAATTTTTTCAGTGGCTCTTATGAATACTGTTGCGTTCCCCCTGAGCTGTCTGCAGTTTTGTAGGGGAGAGATCTTGAGTGCGGTAGTTATAATAGCTATTTGATCAAATGTGTATTCTGTGTGTGTGTGAAGCAAAGGTTTTGATAGTGGCTGCTGGAAGATCTAAAAAATGAAAACTGGCAGGGACCCTTGCAATCTGCAGTTGCCTTGTGCATTTAGATTACACCAGTGGTTCCCAAACTGGGGTTCGCAAAATGTTACAGGGGGTTCTTGGGGGAAAAAATTCCCTAATGGCAGACAGAGCTGTCCCTAGGGACTTCGGGCAGCACAGGACCAACAGCCCGGAGTTCCGGGGACTTCCAAGAGCTATGCAGATCAAAGCAAGCATATCCGTCACACTGAGGAGATTTAAACTTCAAGACTGCTTATAAGAAATGGAAAGGGAGGTGGATATTTTCTGCTGTTTTTAAAATTAAATAGGCTGCTAGTGTTGGTTTTTTAAAATTATTATGAAGAACAAGTTTAAGTTTTGTTTGTTTGCCTGGATGGCTCAAGACCCGAATGCTTGTGTAGGAGGAACTCTGTATTTGAGTTGGCTTCTTAAATACCTTCATGCTGTATCACATCTGATACTCCTTGATTAAACATAGGAGCCTTGTCTTGTAACAGGCTTAATCAAAGCGATACAAGCTGCGAAAGTGAGATGTTGGAAGAGTTTTGCCGTTTTCATAATGTAATAAAATTAACACTATAATGATAAATAATAAATAATAAACAGTGTGTAATAAGCATGTAATTAAAAAAATTCTATTTCCAATAACACTGCTTTTATAATTTATGCTCAGGTAAGGGAGAAAATCCCTAGACATATTCATTTTTAGGAGGGGGTTCGTGAGACTTGACATTTTAGTGAAAGGGGTTCATGGGTTGTTAAAGTTTGGGAACCACTGGATTACACTATGATAGCCTGTGAAGGGTGGTGGTTTTGTTTGTCTTTCTGTCTGTTTGTTCTCTGGGCAGGTGCTATCTTAGTTTAAAAGGCTGGGTTCAGGTCACTAGTGACAGTATTGAGTAGCTAGGTTACAGGTAACAGTCCCTGCTGTGGACAGGGGCCCTTTCTTTGGTTTTTATTTGCTGATTTGAATCTCCCTGTGAGTTTCCACTTGTGCTTCTGCAGTAGAAAACACATTCAGTGCAATCATTTGTTACATCATTTCAGCATTTGAAACTCTGAGATAGTGCCTATTTTGTGTATTTTTTACAATGCAAAAATACAAGGAAGTAAATGATCTAATTAGTAGTTAAGGCATGTGTGGGGAAATCAGGTGGTTTGGAAGTTCTGGTATTGGCTCTGCCACAAACCTACTGTGTGTCCTTGGGCAAATTACTCTATCTCATTTCCTGCCTTTTAGGTGGCAAATATTTGATGCAGGAATTACTGAGTGAAATTCTGTGCCTGTATTATACCAGAAGTCAGATTAGATTATCATAATGAACCCTTCTGGCTTTAAAATCTATGAATTAACACTTCTTTTGAAAAGTACTTGGAGTGCTTTCTGTGTAAGACAGTATGTAAATGAAAGTGACAAATAGTTGTAAGTGAGCAGTGCATTACTAATGTATGTGTAAATCTGCCCCCTTAACACTGTATGTATGAGTACAGTTAATTCAGTCCCCGCAGGGCAGAGACTTTTACAGCATTTCATTTATCATCTCTGAAGGGTACGGCTGGAACCTCACCAAACCTGACTAGTTGAAAAGATGTTAATGCTGTTACTTCAGTCTCTCTACCCTGATATTACCATCAATATTGCCCACTGCCTGTTGAATTGGACGGGGATCTTGAGAGCTTTGTACAGAGGTTCTCTATGAGCACTATGAGATTGGCAGGTGGTGGCAGTGGGTGTCTGATAACCCCTTTAGGATTTTGGAATGGTAGAAATGAACAAAACTCCAAATGTAATATGTAATCCTGTTGTTCACAATATCAGTAGTGCATTAGTCTTACTGGAAGGGACTGTTAATCTTACTGTAAACTGAATTTCAGTGGAGGTGAGTACTGAGAATTGTATGTGACATAGGTTCCCAACTTGTTTGTGTACAGACTTTGTTGACTGTTGAATTATTCATGTAACATTTCACAGTATTCTCAGAAAGATAATCACATATAACTCAGTTGTTTGAGAGTGTTGCACAATCCTTGCGGTAATACCTATACTTCTGTTCCTTGAATAAATAACTGAATAATAAAGCTGTAGTGTGTACAATTCATGAAGGGAAGATTCTTGTAACCCTTTTGCTCCTGCTGCTGCCTCTGTGCAGGAATAAAATCCAGTGTTGTTCTGTGGAATGTTGGCTGTACCAAGGAGATGAGCCTGATATACAGAGGAATACTCAGGATGCCTGACTTAAAGTATCAGGTGTTTCTGACACTCAAATGGATAATAACAAAAAATTAAAAGTTCTAGTGGTAGGAAGGATGTTCAACTTTACCCCTTGCTCTGTTATATTCATATTAATCTATATTTATCAGAATAATCTGTATTTAAACTTCAAATACTTCCCCAAAACCTGTTACCCTTGGTTTCTATGGCTAATTTCTATTTTGCCTTTTGTTTTACTTCAGTCTCTGCTTCAAAATATCAGAGCTCATGAAATTTGCTTTCTGTTCATAGTTTTTATCTTAACCCTCATCCTTCTCTTGCCTATCATTTTCTTTTGTCTACTTTTTGTGTTTGAGTAGTTTAGCTTTTAACCTGTCTGGACCATTTAAAATGTTTAAAATGCACCATGAAAAGTTAGGGTGCTATATAAATATTAGAAACACTATCAAATTGAGTTTGTTTTTTTTCAAATTGACACTTTCTGATAGAACCCTCTTGAAATGCTATCTCCTGAATTCTTTTAACACTAATTTTGTAAGGTTTTTTTGGTTCCCCTCTTGATCGATTTTAAAGGTCATTCAGTTTCTCCCTTGCTAATCCGCAATACAGGGTAACAAAGAAACTGACTTTACACAAAGTGTTCCGAAATGCACCAGGCTGGTAAACTGAACAAGATGAGAATTTTTTTCCACTAGCTTCTGTTGGTTTTAGTAATTTAAGGTGTTATAAGTATCAATAGTAGTTACAAAATCTTGTGACTTCAAGTTGACAGTGAGTCTCCTTTAGTAATGGCGCCAGCCTCATGTCATGTTACATTTCTGCTTAACAAATAATTGTGGTCTTTAAGCGCTCTATATCCTTATTGTACTGCTACAGGGTAAGTCAAAGTCTTGTTTGTTTTAATACTTCTCACAGTGGATGGTGCTTTTGTCTTGCAGGATCATCTAGTTTGCTTCTTACCTGGGACACTGGCTCTTGGAGCTCACAATGGGCTGACTGCTGATCACATGGAGCTGGCCAAAGCCCTCATAGAAACTTGTTACCAGATGTATGCTCAGGTAGAGACAGGCCTGAGCCCAGAGATTGTACACTTCAATCTCCATGCACAAAAGGACCGCAAGGATGTGGAGATCAAGGTAAACAGCCCTACAAGTATCACTCCAAATTGACATCTGTGTATCTCTTGCTTTGGATAGCTCTGTGCACATATCACATTGTTTCTATGAAAATCTCAATAGAATCTCTACACCTGGGGGAAGGATGCTCTTTGTTTTGATGGGTAAACTTCCTCTCTGTCTCTCCTCGGGCAAACACTCCCTAGGCTTGACACTTTTGAATGATCTCTTAACATTCACAGGCTGACTTGCATATAAGTATTTGAGGCATGTGTGAGTGGTGGAGGGGAATTGAACATGTAGGGTTGGATGGGACCTTGAGAAGTCAAGTCCAGTCCCCTGCGGTGAGGCTGGGCCAAGTGAAACCAGACCAGGGGTCTGCAACCTTTCAGAAGTGCTGTGCCGAGTCTTCATTTATTCACTCTGATTTAGGGTTTTGCGTGCCAGTAATACATTTTAACGTTTTTAGAAGGTCTCTTTCTAGAAGTCTATAATATATAATTAAACTATTGTTGTATGTAAAGTAAATAAGGTTTTTAAAATGTTTAAGAAACTTCCTTTAAAATTGAATTAAATGTAGAGCCCTCCGGACTGGTGGCCAGGACCCGGGCAGTGTGAGTGCCACTGAAAATCAGCTCATGTGCTGCCTTCGGCATGTGTGCCATAGGTTGCCTACCCCTGAACTAGACCATCCCTGACAGGTGTTTGTCCCACCTGTTCTTTAAAACCTCCCATGATGGGGATTCCACAACCTCCCTTGGAAGCCTATTCCAGAGCTTAACTACCCTTAGAGTTAAAAAGCGTGCAGATTAAGCCCATTATTTCTTATCCTACCTTGAGTGAACATGGAGAACAATTGATCACCGTTCTCTTTATGACAGCCCTTAACAGATTTGAAGACAGCCATTAGGTCCTGCCTCAGTCATCTTCTCAAGACGAAACGTGCCCAGTTTTTTTTAACCTTTCCTCATAGGTCACATTTTTTTAAACCTTTTATTGTTTTTGTTGCTCTACTCTGGACACACTCACTCGCTCTTCAGTTTACCCACATCTTTCCTAAAGTGTGGCGCTGAGAACTGGACATAGTACTCTAGCTGAAGCCTCCCCAACGCTGAGTAGAGTGGGACAGTTACCTCCTCCTGTCTCTTATATAAGACACTCCTTTTTTTGCAGCTGCATTACACTGCTGACTGATAGTCAATTTGTGATCCACTGTAACTCCTGGATCCTTTTCAGCAATATTACTCCCTACCCGGTTATTCTCCCATTTCGTAGTAGGTACCAAAGAAGCTGCAGGGTACAGTCAAATTGCTCTCTGCTAATGTATCCTGCTCCCTGACTGAATTATGATCTTTACTTTTTTGCAGCCTGCAGATAGGCACAACCTGCTGCGACCTGAAACTGTGGAAAGCCTGTTCTACCTGTACAGATTCACGGGGGATAAGAGATACCAAGACTGGGGCTGGGAGATCTTGCAGAGCTTCAATAAGTATACACGGGTAAGGCCGTCATGCTGAGCAGTAATATCTCAGGAGTGTATCTAGGCAAAGTGTTCTGTGTATAGGGACTTCCAAAGTAAAGCTGAAATTGCTCATCTTCCAAGAATCATAATATCTAATAGGTAAAACAAAGCATTGAGAGCTTGACAGAGTATTACAGTCTGTACTGCGCCTTGAAGCCTCTGGACTTAGGCTTGTGCATTTAGTACTTAGCACATTAAGGAAAAAGACTTTTCATCATATTGATAAAAGCTATATATAAGAGAATTATGATGAGGGCAGACTTTCTAAATTGCCGGGATGGATTGTCAGCAGGACAAAAATGCTGACCTATATCCAAACAAGTTTTGTTTTGTTTGTTTTCCAAGTGGGTCTCAGCATTACTTTTAGCAATTTCAGCTATAGTTTCTAAGGGTCTAGGATTTTCTAGTGCAAAATATCAATACAAAAACCTTCATGGTAACTCACTGACTTCAAAGCATCAATTGCTTTAACTGCCAAGATACTTTAATAGATACCTGTGCATATGTATCCATTGTCTGTTAAATCAGGGGTTCTCAACCTTTTTCTTTCTGAGACCCCCCTCCCCCCCAACATGCTATAAAAACTCCAGGGCCCAGTGGGGTGTGGTGAAGTTGGGGCTCTGGCCTCCACGCATAGTTTGACTTCTATTTTGTGGGGGGGAGGGGGAGAGCGGCAGTGGGGCTCAGGCCAGCGCCACACAGCAGAGCCCAAGGAGGGAGTGCTCCCTCCACCCCCTTATTCACCTCAGCAGGCCACCCAGCCTGTCTGGATTGTGGGGGGGAGGAGGGGTGCAGCATGGGGCGCAACCACAAATTATAACTCAAAGGGGGCAGGGGGTTCAGCTCTAAATGTATGAAAACTGCTCAGGGAGAAGGGTAGTGAGGGACTATGTGTAGACAAGGGGTGCAGGGAGAGGGGTAGCTAGGGGCTGTGTGTGGGGTCACTGCTCCCCGAGGGCTCTGCTGGCCCCAGAGCTGGGTCCCCCTGCTGAGGTGGCTCTTACTGTCTGTATGAGCCGTCAAAGGGGGCTGGGAGCTGAGAAGCAGCTGCAGTCCCAGGCACCAGCAGGAGGAGATGGAGGAACGCTGTGGCTGCCCTCTGTGTGGCACCAGCCAGAGCAGCAGCAGCTGCCCCACTCTGCCTGGCTCCAGCCTCTGACCTGGCCACAGGTGGGGGCTTTACGGGAGTTGGGGGAGAGGAAGTGGATGGGGGGTGGAGCTGTCCCAGGACTGCCCCACTCTGGATAAGGCACTACAGTTTGGGCTGCGGGGGAAGAGCCTCTTTTGTTCCCCCAACTCTGCCCCTGTGCTCGGGGCTTCAGCCCCACAGCGGGGTATTGGGATTCAGGGCTCCAGCTGTGGGCCCCACAGCCTCCATGGGGGCTGCAGATCCCCCCCAGTTTAGAACTGCTATGTTAAATGATTAGATTGTATAACTGAGTTGTGATGTTGATGAAAGAATGTGTTTCATAAATGGGATGTCACTCCCATAAAATTTATCTTTTAACAAAGATAATTTGAGAAATGAATTTTAGTCCAGCAAAGTTTCACTGATCCTTCCTTGAAACCATCCAGTTTCTGCTGTGATCATGTCAGATCTCACAAACTAAGCAAGATCTGGCTGCTGGAATGGTACAATAGTTGGGTGGAAGGTTTCAAAGGAAAAAAGAGTGCTGCAGGAAGTCATGTTAATGCCTCAGTAGGGGCATTCTTCCCTTTGGGTATGTCTTCACTACCGGCTGGATCCGTGGGCAGTGGTCGATCCAACGGGGATCAATTTATCGTGTCTAGTCTAGACGCTATAAATTGATCCCAAGCGCTCTCCCGTGGACTCCTGTACTCCAGCTCGGCGAGGGCAGGTGGAGTTGATGGAGGAGCGGGAAGAGTCGACTCACCGCAGTGAAGACACCACGGAAAGTCGATCTAAGTACGTCTACTTCAGCTACGTTACTCACATAGCTGAAGTTGTGTAACTTAGATCGATTTCTCCCCCGCCCCAGTGTAGACCAGGCCTTTGTGTTTGTGTTGAGCCAATGCCCCATAACTGTAGAGGAGCACTGTGTTTCTAGAAGTAGCTTTTGGATGAGCTATACAATTATGGTCCAGACTGCTTAGGGCCATGGGATCTTTCATGACCATTTCTCAAGAGTAGAGGTATTAAGCCTGTTGTCCTGGTAATTACAGTAATTGCCTCAAATTTCTTCTGCAGTTTTGATGGGACATTGTCCTCTTCACTTGTCTTGTAGCATTTCTTTCTGCTGTTAAACATGCAGCATTTCACAGTGATGTGGCTTCATTTTACTGTATGTAGTTTGTGTATCAGTTTGTAAAGTGTTTTGTAATGCTTCAAAATTGAAATGCTTTATGTAAGTTGCAAAATATTATTTTGAAAGCTTTGCCTGCTTTTCTAATGTTTATTTTCATCTTTTTTTTTTAATCAAAATTGGGAGTTTGTAGATAACACAAGTTCTTTTTGGCTTATAGAAATATATAAAATTGTTAATTGTCTTTTGCACAGGTTCCTTCAGGTGGTTATACTTCCATTAACAACGTCCAGAACCCCAGTAACCCAGAGCCAAGAGATAAGATGGAAAGCTTCTTTCTTGGGGAAACACTCAAGTATATGTTTCTGCTGTTTTCGGATGACGTAGACCTAATCAACCTTGACAAATATGTATTTAACACAGAAGCTCATCCCCTTCCTATCTGGGCACCAGCATAGAAGTACTATGTGAACCTTCGGCAGCGGGCTGTTACTTTGAGTCACTTTACTGTGCAGGGTTTGAACTGGGATAGCAGAGAATTGCTCTATTTACCCTTTCTTGGTTTTTAAAAAAATTGGAAAAGCATCTCTGATTTAGAGAAATCTGTCAGTCTTAAATCTAACTCTGTGCTTTAGCTCGGGGATGGACAACCTGAGCACACTATACTGCTTTGCCTGGATTTGATGCAGACATCAAGGTTGGGGAAGCAATTGCAGTGTGAACCCTGATGTTAATAGGTCTCTGAGCAACCAGTGACTCAGTCATGCCATTCTTTGTAGATTTTGGTTATATTTCAGGACAGCAGCAAGTTGTCTTATAGCACAGGATTGTCTCTGGAGAGAAGGGCGTACTGAAAAGTTTGACTCCAGCTCATTCCATGGTATGAGCCTGTAATATCTCCATATGGTATGTGGGGTAGACCGAGATCTGTACCTTTGTCCCAGTAAAAATGGGGATGTCAGTAATATTGCTGACACTTTGATCTCGTTCCAAATCAATGAGCCGTGCAGCATTCTGTTTGAAGAGAGAAGTTATGTTCCAAAACCATCTCTAGTACAGCATCTGAATTTGACTGAGCTGTGGCTCAAATGAATGAACGGTGGCAAATTGAGTACAAAACTTGCTGCTGATTTAGCTCAAAGTGGTAATCAATTTTGTAGATGTATGGCAATTTTTTTAACTTATCTGCAGGAATGCAGGAGACAATGTGAAAAGCAAACAATATACATACATGCATTTATATATATATATTTGCATCAGTTAGTCTCAGGTATTCTGACTGAAAGCTGCTTTGCGAGGTTGAGCTACAGAAAAGCTGGTTAGCACATTAGGTGTAATTCAAACTCCGCTTTCTCAGATCTTGGATTTTAAAAATGTTATGTTGGATCAGTGAGGCTCATTGTTGTGCAGAGTAATTCCTACTATTTGTCTTACTATGGATTGACAAGGAGGGGTTTTCAGTTCTTTTTTCTTCTTTGAAGTACCTTGCTTGAAAGTGTTATGTTCCCCTGTAGAATTAAATGCAGATGGTCTGAGGGTCTTCTGACATGGATTCAGAATGTGGTCCTACTTGAAAGGGTCTCCCCTCTCACTGATACTGCTAGTAGACTTGCTGAGAGCTGTTTGGGTGCTTTGAGGAGAAAATAGACCTAGTGATTATGTATAAAAGTATCTTCTGTGAGTCTAGGGGGTCTTGCATTTTTATTTCTGGAAATGACTTTCGAAAGTAAAATGAAACAAATGTTTGAAAGAAACATGAATTTTGAAAGTAGCTAACTTATGCAGTCCTGTGAACACCAATAAGTTGTGGGAGAAAAGTGCTAGTTCACTTATATTTTAGGGTCTCTCTTCCTGTCATAGTTTCCATGCCCATAGGTCTCATTAATGAGAAGACAGGTTACAGGTACGTGTGTAGGCACAATCCACTCTAATTTTGGGGCTGAGAAATAGTGGCAATATAAAGCTGACCCATTGCAATTCAGTTATGGATTTAACAGTAAATGTAACTTTCTGTTTTGTAAAGTAATCAATGTCTGTATAACTTGTCTTGCCAGACCTGGTCTTGCTGGAGTAGGACATTACTATTTGGACCACTTTTTAAATCTTTAGGCAGTACTTATCATTCCTTGATAATGGCACGTGGAAATGAAGAAACAATTACTGCAAATTATCTCTCTCTCTCTCTCTCTCTCTCTCTCTCTCTCTCTCTCTCTCTCTCTCTCT